TGACAGAGCAAGACTTCATCTCAAAAATGAATAAATAAATAAAAAATTTTTTAAAAGTTTAAAAAAAAATCTATACATTTCATATATATACGTGTGTGTGTATATATATATGGTGAAAATTGACAGTTTCCTTTTCTCTCCATATATGAGTGTATTTAAAAACCCATGACTCTGTCAATTCCTTCTTCAAACATAAATTTGAAAGTCTTTCAGGCTGGGCACGGTGGCTCATACCTGTAATCTCAACACTTTGGGAATCTGAGCTGGGAGGATTGCTTGAGGCCAGCAGTTCAAGGCCAGCCTAGGCAACATAGTGAGACCCTGACTACAAACTTTTTTTTTTTTTGAGATGGAATTTCACTCTTGTTGCCCAGGCTGGAGTTTAATGGTGTGATCTTGGGTCACTCCAACTTCCGCCTCCTGGGTTCAAGTGGTTCTCCAGCCTCAGCCTCCCAAGTAGCTGGGATTACAGGCGTGTGCCACCATATTTGGCTAATTTTGCATTTTCAGTAGAAATGAGGGTTTCTCCATGTTGGCCAGGCTGGTCTCGAACTCCCAACCTCAGATGATCCACCTGCCTCAGCCTCCTAAAGTGTTGGGATTACAGGCATAAGCCACCATGCCCAGACTACAAAATGTGTTTTTTTGTGTTTTGTTTTTGTTTTGAGATGGAGTCTTGCTCCTGTCTCACAGTCTGGAGTGTAGTGGTGTGATCTCAGCTCACTGCAACTTCCACCTCTCAGGTTCAAGCAATTCTTCCTCAGCCTCCCGATTAAATGGGATTACAGGTGTGCACCACCACACTCGGCTAATTTTTGTATTTTTAGTAGAGATGGGCTTTCGCCACGTTGGCCAGGCTGGTCTTGAACTCTTGACCTTAGGTGATCCACCCACCTTGGCCTCCCAAAGTGCTAGGATTACAGGCATGAGCCACTGTGCCTGGCCAACAAAATGTTTTAAAAATTAGCTGGGCATAGGGCCTGGCATGAAGGCTCACACCTGTAATCCCAGCACTTTGGGAGGCCAAGGCAGGCAGATCACCTGAGCTCAGGAGTTTTGAGACCAGCCTCGCCAACATGGTGAAACCCCGTCTCTACTAAAAATACAAAAATTAGCCAGGCATGGTGACGCACCTCTAATTCCAGCTATTCAGGAGGCTGAGGAAGGAGAATCGCTTAAAGCCGGGAGGCGGAGGTTGCAGTGAGCCGAGGTTGTTCCAATGCACTCCAGCCTGGGTGACCGTCTCAAAAAAAAAAAAAAAAAAAAAAATTAGCTGGGCGTGATGGCATGTGTCTGTAGTCCCAGATACTTGGGAGGCTAAGGCGGGAGGATCACCTGAGCCCAGGTGGTCGAGGCTACAGTGAACTGTGATCCAGCCTGGGTGACAGTGCAAGACACTTTCTCAAGAAAAACAAGTCTTTGTGAGGCGGTATGGCAGACTGATTTACAGTGACAGCAATAAGCACTTGGAAACAGATTGATTAGGTCAGATCCCTAGTTCTGCATCTTACTAGCTCTGTGGTGTCAGGAAAGTTACTGAATCTTCATGTGTCTCAGTTTCCACATTTGAGAAATGGTAATAGTAATAATCCCTATCCTGTGGTTTGGTTATGGTTTGTTTGACCCCACCAAGTGTTGTGTTGAAATTTGATTCTCAGTGTTGAAAGTGGGGCCTGGTGGGAGGTGTTCAGGTCATAGGGGCAGGTCCCTCATGAATGGCTTGGTGCCATTCTTGTGGCAGTTAGTGATTCTCACTCCTCCTCCTCTTCCTCCTCTTCTTCTTCCTCTTCTTCCTTCTCCTCCTCCTCCCCCCAGGTTCAAGTGATTCTCCTGCCTCAGCTTCCTTAGTAGCTGGGATTACAGACACCTGCCACCACACCTGGCTAATTTTTGTATTTTTAGTAGAGACGGTGTTTCACTATGTTGGCCAGACTGGTCTTGAACTCCTGACCTCAGGTGATCCTCCCGCCTCAGCCTCCCAAAGTGCTGGGATTACAGGCGTGAGCCACTGAGCCTGGCCTGAATTACTGATTTTTACATACTGTACAAACGTCTGCATCCTACTTTTTCTTACTTTTGTTAAATTTGGCCTAAAGCTGCCTCATAAACAATGAACTGTATCCTAATTTAATTAAGCATTTCAACATTTCACTAATGGAATATAAAAGTAAAATTAAAAAATAAGAAAATATGACAAAAAAAAAAAAACCGTGTAAACATTTGGGAAAAAGCCTTCAGGCCTTGTCAGTTCCTAGAATGTATTTATTTTCACCGCGCTGGGGACTCCATTTCCAGTATTAAGGTCCATTTTCAGAAGGTGGGTTTGGTGAGTGTGAAAAAAGGGGGTGGGGGAGTAATCGTACAAACAATTGTGTCCAGGCCAGGTTCCTAGGACCTGAGGGACCCCTCCGTATGGCAGAGGCACCCGACATCCGTAACTGCTGTGCACCCTGCGAATGACTTTATGGTCTAAGAAGAACGTGTGTTCAGGGCCCCACCTAAGGAATCAGGAGTGGCAATATCCTGGTAGGATGCCAGCCTATGAAACCCCGAGTCTAGAGGTCAAGCTGGGCACTTAGCTTCTTTCTTTTTTTTTTTTTTTTTTTTTTTTTTTTTTTTTTTTTTTTTGAGACAGAGTCTCGCTCTGTTGCCCAGGCTGGAGTGCAGTGGTGTGATCTCGGCTCACTGCAAGCTCCGCCTCCCGGGTCCACGCCATTCTCCTGCCTCAGCCTCCCGAGTAGCTGGGACTACAGGCGCCCGCCACCTCGCCCGGCTAATTTTTTTTTTGTATTTTTAGTAGAGATGGGGTTTCACTGTGGTCTCGATCTCCTGACCTTGTGATCCGCCCGCCTCGGCCTCCCAAAGTGCTGGGATTACAGGCGTGAGCCACCGCGCCCGGCCTTTCTTTTTTTTTGAGACGGAGTTTCACTCCTGTTGCCCAGGCTGGAGTACAATGGCATGATCTTGGCTCACTTCAACCTCCACCTCCCAGGTTCAGGCGATTTTCCTGCCTCAGCCTTTCCAAATAGTTGGGATTACAGATGCCCGCCACCACACCTGGCTAATTTGGTATTTTTAGTAGAGATGGGGTTTCTCCATGTTGGTCAGGCTGGTCTCGAACTCCCAACCTCAGGTGATCTGCCCGCTTCGGCCTCCCAAAGTGCTGGGAGTACAGGCGTGAGCCACCGTGTCCGGCCAAGGCACTTGATTTCTTAGGTCACTCACTTGGCCCTCTTCCAAGTTATACTTTCTTTCTTTCCTTCCTGTTCTAAAGTTTTTTAATAATTTTTTTTTTCTGAGATGGCATCTCACTCTGTAGCCCAGGCTGCAGTGCAGTGGCATGATCTCAGCTCACTGCAACCTCTGCCTCCCAGGTTCAAGCATTTCTCCTGCCTCAGTCTCCCGAATAGTTTGGACTACAGGTGCCCGCCACCCGGCTAATTTTTGTATTTTTAGTAGAGATGGGGTTTCTCCATGTTGGCCAGGTTGGTCTCAAACTCCTGACCTCAAGTAATCCTCCCGCCTTGACCTCCCAAAGTGCTGGGGTTACAGGTTTGAGCCACTGCACCTGGCCTGCTTTTTTTTTTTTTTTAGACTGAGTGTTGCTCTGTCGCCAGGCTGGAGTGCAGTGGTGTGATCTCGGCTGACTGCAACCTCTGCCTCCTGGGTTCAGTAGATTCTCCTGCCTCAGCCTCCTGAGTAGCTGGGACTACAGGCGCATGCCACCATGCCCAGCTAATTTTCAGTAGAGACGGGGTTTCACCATATTGGCCAGGCTGGTCTCAAACCCCTGACCTCGTGATTCTCCCACCTCTGCCTCCCAAAGTGCTGGGATTACAGGCTTGAGCCACAGCGCCCAGCGCTGGCCTGCTTTTTAATAAACTTTTACTACTGCTCTGCAACTGGCCTTCCTCTGGCTTTCTGCCTTATACCCTTCAGTGCAATTCTTTCTTCTGAGGAGGCCAGAATTGAGGTTGCTGCTGATGTGTAGGGACTCACCACCCGGAACTCCACCAGTAACAGGAAACTAGTTGAAAATGTTATGTAAGCTGCATGCTTTTTACAAATCGTAGTGGTTCTCATGTCCAGCAATGACCACTGAACCGTCCCTATATGAAAGTACCCTTCATAAACCTATGTCTCCTTTGCTGTCTCCAGATCTCCTCCTCTACCTCTCCCACACGGTGCCTTCCCTACTGGAGTAAAGTGGGGTCCCGCAGGGCACCCTTTCCCTGCAATTTTTTTTTTTTTTTTTTGGAGACAGAGTCTTGCTCCGTTGCCCAGGCTGGAGTGCAGTGGTGTGATCTTGGCTCACTGCAGCCTTTGCTTCCCGGGTTCAAGCGATTCTCCTACCTCGATTTTCCGAGTAGCTGGGATTACAGGTGCGCGTCATCACGCCCCGCTAATTTTTTTTTTTTTTTTTAATTTTTACAAAATAGGGACGGGGTTTCACTGTCTGTTGGCCAGGCTGGTCTCGAACTCCTGGCCCCAAGTGATCCGCCCCCCCCCCCCCCGCCCGCCCCCCGCCTCGGGTTCCCAAAGTGCAGGGATTACTGCACCTGGCCTCTCTCCCTGCATCTTTATGTGCCTGCAACACCAAGAGGGAGCTCTTGGCCCCTGGGTTAAGGTCAGGGCTCCAGAATCCCAGGGTCAAGGCTATGGCCGCATCCCAAGGACGGGCATCCCTGCAAGAGGCTGCATCACACAGGCATGGAAGAAGCTCCCATGGGGCCAGCTCAAATTCCTGCTGGGGAAAGCAAGTGGAGGTGCTCCTTGACGAAACAGGGGGATCCCACCGATCTCAGGGGTTCTGTTCTGGCCTGCGACCCTGGATCGTCCAGCCTGGGCCAGGGTGGGGAGCAGACCTCGCCCTTCTTGGCTGGGGCTGAGGGTGAGGGTCCCGTTTCCCCAAAGGCCTAGCCTGGGGTTCCAGCCACAGGCCCCACTGGGCAGCGCCCAGCCTCGCCCCGCCCCGCCCCTCCAGGCCTGGCACTCGTCCTGAACCAAGATGGCGCGGACGGCTTCAGGCGCGTCACGCCACCGGCGCGTCACGCGAGCCGCCCTACGGGCACCTCCCGCGCTTTTCTTAGCCCAGCAGACAGTGACGGAGAGGGGAGCGGGGGAGTAGGCGAGCGGAAAGCATGGCCCGGGGCTTGGCGGTGGCCTGGGCGGTGCTTGGGCCGCTGTTGTGGGGCTGCGCGCTGGCGCTGCAGGGCGGGATGCTGTACCCCCGGGAGAGCCCGTCGCGGGAGCGCAAGGAGCTGGACGGCCTTTGGAGCTTCCGCGCCGACTTCTCCGACAACCGACGCCGGGGCTTTGAGGAGCAGTGGTACCGGCGGCCTCTGCGGGAGGTGCGATCTCGGGGCAGGGCCGGGAGGCGTCTGGAAGCCCGGCGGTGGGAGTGGGGGATCCCGGGTCCCCGCAGGCTCCTTCCCCTGGGCTTCCCGGAGCTGGGAGCCCGCAGGAGGTTAAAGGTCAACGGGCTTAGGGGGCGCGGGGTTGGGGGACGGGGGAACTGGGGCACTCTGGAGGGCCGGGGTGGAGGAGGCAGGAGGAGGAGAAAAGACTCCTGCCGAACCCCTTCCTGAGGCGAAGGCTGAGCCTGTGCGGTGTCCTTCCTTTTAATATTTATTTTTTATTTTAAAAAAAAGTTTTTTGAGACTGGGTTTGCACCTGTCTCCCAGGCTGGAGGAGAGTGGCGCCATCCTAACTTCTGAGCTCACTCGATTCTCCCGTCCCGCAGTTTAGCTGGGGCCACCACGCCTGGCTAAAAAGCAAAACAAAACAAAAAATCTTACCCGGGCTCAGTGGCTCACACCTGTAATCCCAGCACTTTGGGAGGCGGAGGCGGGCGAATCACCTGAGGCCAGGAGTTTGAGACCAGGCTGGCCAACATAACATGGTGAAACTTCGTCTCTACTAAAAATATAAAAATTAACCAAGTGTGGTGGTTCACGCCTGTAATCCCTGGTACTTGGGAGGCTGAGTCAGGAGAATTGCTTGAACCCAAGAGGTAGAGGTTGCAGTGAGCTGAGATCATGCCACTGCACTCCAACCTGGGCGACACAGTGAGACATTTTTTTTTTTTTTTTTTTAAAGATAAAGGGTCTCACTAGTTACCCAGGATGGTCTCGAACTCCTGGCCTGAAGCCATCTTCCCACGTTGACCTCCCAAAGTGCTGATTACAGGCATGAACCACCCACACACTCCCCTGGCACAGCAGCATGCACTGCACAGAGCTGGGCCCGGGGATTGGGAGGAGGGGACAGTTTAGACGTCCTGAGGTCAGCTTTCTGGTTTTTAAGGTTCAGATAGAGGACAGGACGTGACATCAGGCCAAGGACGCCACCCGTGTTCCCCTCCTGACTCGGATGTGGTCAGCAGAGAAGTGGAACCGGGTGAGGTCTGGGCCGCTTTTGCCTGGTCTACATCCTCTTTTTCTGACTTTGCATCATTCGGTACAGGAGGGAGAGAGGAGGGGGCTGGGTGCCAGTGTGGGCCCCACTCACAGTGTCCTAAGCAAAGCTCCCCCTATCCCCCCAACCAGCCTTCCTCCCTGTGACATGCAATGGGCCATCTGCCTTAGTCATGGGTCTGAACCTTCTTGCCTCTGGCTGGGATGTGGCCCTGGGCTCGCTCCTGTCTCAGGAGATATTGGGCCCCACCCATTCCGAGGAGGAACTCCTGGCTCCCCTGGCCCAGGTGCACTAACTGCCCTGGCAATTGACCTGTTATCAGCAAGTTATCTGTCTGTTCCGCCAAGAGTCCTCACAATGTGTCAGGGCTTTTGCACTAAGCCTGGGACACAGCTGTGCAGCACACTGGTCCCGGATCCCTTTGGGGGCCTAGGAGCTGAGCCCGGCCTTTCTCTCCACAGTCAGGCCCCACCCTGGACATGCCGGTTCCCTCCAGCTTCAACGACATCAGCCAGGACTGGCGTCTGCGGCATTTTGTTGGCTGGGTGTGGTATGAACGGGAGGTGATCCTGCCGGAGCGATGGACCCAGGACCTGAGCACAAGAGTGGTGCTGAGGATTGGCAGTGCCCACGCCTATGCCATCGTGGTCAGTGCGGCCAGGAGCAGGCAGGGCGGGTGGGTGGGCACGGCTGCTGACCAGCATGGGACCCCCAGCTGCCACCCACAGCCTGTCTGCCGGGGTGGGATGGTGGGGGGCCCTGCCCTGCCTTGGGTGCTGTGCCCTGTGTAGGGGAATAGGTAGCCTGATCTACCCCATTGGGATGCCATTCTTCCCGTCTAGCGGGCAGGCCCCAGAGCCCCATACTGTTGGATATGTGAGGGAGTGCCCGACAGCTGGGCACCTACCTCCTCATGCCCTGACCTGCCACCCCCTGCCCATGTCTCCTGTGTCTGCAGTGGGTGAATGGGGTCGACACGCTAGAGCATGAGGGGGGCTACCTGCCCTTTGAAGCCGACATCAGCAACCTGGTCCAGGTGGGGCCCCTGTCCTCCCAGCTCCGCATCACTATCGCCATCAACAACACACTCACCCCCACCACCCTGCCACCAGGGACCATCCAATACCTGACCGACACCTCCAAGTGGGTACCATCCTGCTTCCATTGCACGCACCCACCTTCCCGCCCCACCCCGTGGTCTTCCTGCTAGGGACAGGGTGGCCTTTGCAGAGTGGAGGCCCTGGATCTGGGGAGGCTGGGAAGGCATGTGAGCTGAGGTCAAGGGACCCAGGGCAAGGGCCCAGCGAACCACAGTCCTCCCACCCTAGGTATCCCAAGGGTTACTTTGTCCAGAATACATACTTTGACTTCTTCAACTACGCGGGACTGCAGCGGTCTGTGCTTCTGTACACGACACCCACCGCCTACATCGATGACATCACCGTCACCACCAGCGTGGAGCACGACAGTGGTGAGGGCTTCTGGTAGGATCCTCCCTCAGCGGGGCCCAGGGTGGCTCTGTTTGTTCCCTGTTTGGAAAGCTCTCCCAGGAAAAAGGTGCTCCCAGCATCTCTAAACCCTCACAGGTTCCCATCCACCTACAAAGCTAAATTCCAGGCTGTCTGAGTGGGCACGGGCTCCCGAAATCACCCGTGTGGTTGACCTCCCTTGGAGAAGAGGGGTCTGGCCTAACGTCACACAGCTCAGGGTGGCAGTCGTGTCCCTTCACCACTGTGCTGCTCTCACTCCAGCTCCCCTTGCTACACATCATGCTCAAGGAACAGGCAGCTTCAGGGGGCCGGGCACGATGGCTCATACCTGTCATCCAGCACTTTGCAAGAAGGCCCTGGTAGGAGGATCTCTTGAGGCCAGTAGTTCAAGACCAGCCTGGGCAACGCAGCAAGGCCATCACCACAGAAAATTAAAAAATTAGCCAGGCATGGTGATGCATACCGGTAGTCCCAGCTGCTGAGGCAGGAGAATCACTTCAGCCTGGGCGGTCAAGGGTGCAGTGAGCTATGACTGTGCCATTGCGTTCTGATCTGGGCAACAGAGGGAGACCCTGTCTTTCTTTTTTTTCTTTTTTCTTTTTTTGTTGAGATGGAGGCTTGCTCTGTCACCAGGCTGGAGGGCAGTGGTGTGATCTTGGCTCACTGCAATCTCTGCCTCCTGGGTTCGAGCAATTCTGCCTCAGCCTCCCAAGTAGCTGGGATTACAGGCACCTGCCACTACACCCAGCTAATTTTTGTATTTTTTTTAGTAGAGATGGGGTTTCACTATGTTGGTTTGACTGGTCTTGAACTCCTAACCTAAGGTGATCCACCCTCCTCGGCCTGCCAAAATGCAAAGGTTACAGGCGTGAGCCACTGCGCCCAGCTGAGGGATACCCTGTTTTTTTTTTTGGGTTTTTTTTTTGGTTTTTTTTTTTTGAGATGGAGTCTCTGTCTGTTGTCCAGGCTAGAGTGCAGTGGTATGGTCTTGGCTCACTGTAACCTCCGCCTGCCAGGTTCAAGCAATTCTCCTGCCTCAGCCTCCTGAACAGCTGGGATTACAGGCGTATGCCACCATGCCCAGCGAATTTTTGTATTTTTAGTAGAGATGGGGTTTCAGCATGTTGGCCAGGCTGGTTCAACTCCTGACTTCGGGATCCACCCACCTCAGTCTCCCAAAATGCTGGGATTACAGGCATGAGCCACTGGGATATCCTGTATTTATGAAAAATTTTTGTTTTAAGTTTTTTTCTTTTTTAAAATGTACATTTTTCAGGTCGGGCGCCATGGCTCACGCCTGTAATCCCAACACTTTGGGAGGCCAAGGCAGTCGGATCACGAGATCAGGAGCTCAAGACCATCCTGGCTAACACGGTGAAACTCCGTCTCTACTAAAAATACAAAAAATTAGCCGGGCGTGCTGGCGGGCGCCTGTAGTCCCAGGTACTCGGGAGGCTGAGGCTGGAGAATGGCGTGAACCCAGGAGGCGGAGCTCGCAGTGAGCCAAGATCACATCACTGCACTCCAGCCTGGGTGACAGAGACTCCATGTCAAAAAAATAAATTAAAAAAAAAAACTTATCTTTTTCTTTTCCTGCTATGAGGCCTTGCACTGTCGCCCAGGCTGGAGTGCAGTGGCAAGATTATTGACAGCTGTCATAAGCCTGCAGTTCTAAGTTTAAAAGAATTTAGGTGCTGTGCACGGTGGCTCACGCCTGTAATCCCAGCACTTTGGGAGGCCGAGGTGGGCGGATCATGAGGTCAGGAGATCGAGACCATCCTGGCTAACACAGTGAAACCCTGTCTCTACTAAAAATACAAAAAAAATTAGCTGGGTGTGGTGGCGGGTGCCTGTAGTCCCAGCTACTCTGGAGGCTGAGGCAGGAGAATGGCTTGAACCTGGGAGGGGGAGCTTGCAGTGAGCCGAGATTGCGCCACTGCACTCCAGCCTGAGCGACAGAGCAAGACTCTGTCTCAAAAAAAAAAAAAAGAAAGAAAAATTTAGGCTGGGTGTGGTGGCTAATGCTTGTCATCCCAGCACTTTGGGAATCCAAGGTGGGTGGATCGCTTAAACCGAAAAGTTTCAGACCAGCCTGGGCAACATAGTGAGACCCTGTCTGAGAAAATAAAATAAATGAATAAAAAAGAATTGAAAAAAGAATCACACAGCAAACGCAATGCAACATAGAGCAATTTATTGCCCAGGAAAAGTATTTTGGAAGTAAAGTTTAGAATAGCCTGGGTGCAGTGGTTCATGCCTATAATACCAGCACTTTTGGAGGCCGAGGCGGGTGGATCACTTGAGTTCAGAAGTTCAAACCAGCCTATCCAGCGTTAGCTGGGCATTGTGGTGTGAGCCTGCAATCCCAACTACTCAGGAGGTTGAGATGGGAGAGTTGCTTCAACCTGGGAGGTGGAGGTTGCAGTGAGCTGAGATTGCAACACTGCACTCCAGCCTGGGTGACAGAGCGACACCCCAACTCAAAAAAAATAATGAAGTGCAAAATACACGGTTCACCCTGAGACACAGAATTCAGGACAGGCTGCTCGTAAGGATGAGACAGCGCCGATTATTACTGGGGAAACTCCCTTTCTGGGAGTCTTCCATGATGAATTCCTAAGGAGCTGGGAAGAGGTGTTACTGTAAGCACGTTCTGGGCTGTCCTCTGGGTGCACATGCGCAGTAGCTGTACATGCGTGTCACGTGTCTCAGCGCCGTGCCTGGCATGTCCAAAGGACACAGTCACTTCTTGACTACCTACCCTGCCTCAAGATCATAGCTCACTGCAGCCCCGAACTCCTGGCTCAAGCAGTCCTCCCACTTCAGCCTCCCAAGTAGCTGGGGCTACTGGGACTGCAAGCACGCACCAGCACGCCCGGCTGATTGTGTTTTTAGGGAAGAAGTGGTTTCCCTGTGTTACCCAGGCTGGTCTTGAACTCCTGGGCTCAAGCAATCCTCGCACCTCAGCCTCCCCAAGTGTTGGGATTACAGGTGTGACCACTGTGCCTGGCCAAAAAAATCTTTTTTTAAATTAAAGCATTGGGTGCGGTGGCTCACACCTGTAATCCCAGCACTTTGGGAGGCCAAGGCGGGTGGATCACCTAAGGTCAGGGGTTCTAGAGCAGCCTGGCCAATATGGCAAAACCCCATCTCTACTAAAAATTATAAAAATTCACCGAGCATGGTGGTGCACGTCTATAATCCTAGGTACTTGGGAGGCTGAGGCAGGAGAATCACCTGAACCCTGGAGGTGGAGGTTGCAGTGAGCCGAGATCATGCCACTGCACTCCAGCCTGGGGAACAGAGTGAGACTCCGTTTCAAGAAAAAAAACAAAAACAATTAAAAAAAAAAAAAAAAAAAGCAACAGAAACAAATGGCTTCCTGGCAGCGGTGGCTGCAGGGCACTCCCTTTTGTGTGACTCAGGTCATGTCCCTCCCACAGCACTGGTCTTTCTCGTTTCTCGCAGGGCTGGTGAATTACCAGATCTCTGTCAAGGGCAGTAACCTGTTCGAGTTGGAAGTGCGTCTTCTGGATGCAGAAAACAAACTCGTGGCGAACGGGACAGGAACCCAGGGCCAACTGAAGGTGCCGGGTGCCAGGCTCTGGTGGCCATACCTGATGCACGAACGCCCCGCGTATCTGTACTCGTTGGAGGTAATGGTGGTTTGGGGCTTGCCCAAGGGAGGTCTTTTGCCCGCATCTGGTGACCTTGGCTTCAGCAGGAGCCCAGGACAGGTGAACGGGCAGCGTGGTCCTCTGAACTTTCTGATGTTTCTCACCCTTGGTGGGAGGCCCAGTTTTTTGTTTTGTTTTGTTTTGTTTTTGAGATGGTCTCGCTCTGTCACCCCAGCTGGAGTGCAGTGGCCTGATCATAGCTCACTGCAGCCTTGAGCTCTCAGCCTGCAGCAATCCTCCTACCTTGGCCTACTGAGTAGCTGGGACTACAGGCACATGCCGCCATGCCTGGCTAATTAAAGAAAAAAAAATTGTAAGCTGGGCACAGTGGCTCATGCCTGCAATCCCAGCATTTTGGGAGGCTGAGGTGGGTGGATGGCCTGAGGCCAGGAGTTTGAGACCAGCCTGGCCAATATGGTGAAACCCCATCTCTACTAAAAATATGACAATTTGCTGGGCATGGTGGTACACACCTGTAATTCCAGCTACTCGGGAGGCTGAGGCAGGAGAATTGCTTGAACTCAGGAGGCAGAGGTTGCAGTGAGCTGAGATCACACCACTGCACTCCAGCTTGGGGGACAGAGTGAGACTGTCTCAAAAAAGTTTTTTTTTTTATAGAGATGAGGTCTCAGGCTGTTGCCAGGCTGGTCTTGAACTCCTGGACTCCAGTGATCCTTCTGCCTTAGCCTCCCAAAATGTGAGAACTCCAGGCATGAGCCTCCTTGTCTGGTCAAGGGGAAGACCCCGTTTTGAAGGGCAGGTCCCAGGTTCAGCCAGGGAAGAGCAGAGCCTCTGATTGCTGCATCTCTGCTTACAGGCCCAGAGGCGGCTGCTGGGGTGCACGAGGGGCCTTCCTGGCAGAGGGCTTAGGCTGTTGGGGTGCTCACACCTGGTGCTTTGGTTGTTGTAGGTGCGACTGACTGCACAGATGTCGCTGGGGCCTGTTTCTGACTTCTACACACTCCCTGTGGGGATCCGCACTGTGGCTGTCACCGAAAGCCAGTTCCTCATCAATGGGAAACCTTTCTATTTCCACGGTGTCAACAAGCATGAGGATGCGGACGTGCGTTGGGGCTCCTGGATCCTTGGGGCTGCTTCTGGTCACCCTCCACTTTCACCTTCCCTGTGTCCTGCAGTTAAGGGCAGCTCAGGGCAATGAGGCAAATGGCTCCAAAAGGAGAGGGGACTCGTGGGGTGGCTCTCCAGGGTCCTGGCTCTCAGAGGAAGTGCAGCTTCGACAGGGACAGGGGTCACTCGGCTCTGCTGTCCCGTAGATCCGAGGGAAGGGCTTCGACTGGCCGCTGCTGGTGAAGGACTTCAACCTGCTTCGTTGGCTTGGTGCCAACGCCTTCCGCACCAGCCACTACCCCTACGCCGAGGAAGTGCTGCAGATGTGTGACCGCTATGGGATTGTGGTCATCGATGAGTGTCCTGGTGTGGGCCTGGCACTGCCGTGAGTCCCCGCTGTGCACCTGCTCCGCCTGCCCAGCCCGTGGGCTGCACCATGACCCTCTGTCCCTTCCCTCCTGGCCTGCAGGCAGTTCTTCAACAACGTGTCCCTGCAGAACCACATGCGGGTGATGGAGGAAGTGGTGCGCAGGGACAAGAACCACCCCGCCGTCGTGATGTGGTCTGTGGCCAACGAGCCTGCGTCCCACCTAGAATCTGCCGGCTACTACTTGAAGTGAGTGCCCCCTGCCTGCCCTCGGCTAGATTGGGGAGGAGACCCTGGCAGGCGGCTGGCTGGGGTGGACGTGTGCTGTTCGAGATCAGCCTCCCGTCCAGCCCAATGGGAAGGCCGTCTATACCTGGACATTCAGGGACCAAATACCCACCCAAATTTTTTTTTCTTTTTTTTTTTTTTTCACTTTTTAAATTTGAGATGGAGTCTCACTGTGTTGCCTAGGCTAGAGTGCGGTGGGGTGATCTCCGCTCACTATAACCTCTGCCTCTCAGGTTCAAGTGATTCTCCTGCCTTAGCCTCCTGAGTAGCTAGGATTACAGGCACCCATGAGCCACTGTGCCTGGCCTGGTTAATTTTTTTTTTTTTTGAAACAGGTTCTCAGTCTGGTTGCCCAGGTTGGAGTGCAGTGGTTCAATGTTGGCTCACTGCAGCTTTGACTTCCCAGGCTCAGGTGATCCTCCTGCCTCAGCCTCCCAAGTAGCTGGGATTATAGATGTGTGTCATCGCGACCGGCTAATTTTTTCTTCTTTTTTCTTTTTCTTTTTTTTTTTTGGATACAGAGTCTCCCTCTGTTGCCCAGGCTGAAGTGCAGGGGCATGATCTCAGCTCACTGCAACCTCCGCCTCCCTGGGTCAAGCGATTCTCCAGCCTCAGCCTCCTGAGTAGGTGGGATTACAGGCACGGGCCACCATGCCCAGCTAACTTTTCCTTTTTTTTTTTTTTTTTCTTGAGATGGAGTCTCACTGTGGCCAGGCTGGAGTGCAGTGGCACAATCTGGGCTCACTGCAGCCTTCACCTCCCAGGTTCAAGTGATTCTCCTGCCTCAGCCTCCTGAGTAGTTAGGACTATAGGCACACACCAACACACCCTGCTAATATTTGTATTTTTAGTAGAGACAGGGTTTCACCATTTTTGCCAGGATGGTCTCGATCTCTTGAACTCGTGATCCACCCGCCTCAACCTCCCGAAGTGCTGGGATTATAGGTGTGAGCCACCGCGCCTGGCCAACTTTTGCATTTTTCAGTAGAGACGGGGTTTCACTGTGTTGGGCCAGGCTGGTCTTGGACTCCTGACCTCAGGAGATCCACTTACCTCGGTCTCCCAAGTGCTGGGATTACAGGTGGGAGCCACCGTGCCCGGCTAATTTTTGTATTTTTAGTAGAGACTGGGTTTCACCATGTTTGCCAGGCTGCCCTGGAACTCCTGGCCTCTAGTGATCCTCCTGCCTCAGCTTCCCAAAGTGCAGGGATTACAGGAGTGAACCACTGCTGGCCCCCCTTTCTTCCTTACAATCGTGCAGTTCTAACTCAGCGTTCAGAATAGGTTTTTCACTTGCGGTAGAGGCAGCAGAGGTGGTAGAAATGCTTCTTGAGGCCGGGCGCGGTGGCTCGAGCCTGTAATCCCAGCACTTTGGGAGGCCGAGACGGGCGGATCATGAGGTCAGAAGATCGAGACCATCCTGGCTAACACGGTGAAACCCCGTCTCTACTAAAAAGTACAAAAAAACTAGCCGGGCGACGTGGCGGGTGCCTGTAGTCCCAGCTACTCGGGAGGCTGAGGCAGGAGAATGGCGTAAAAACCCGGGAGGCGGAGCTTGCAGTGAGCTGAGATCTGGCCACTGCACTCCAGCTTGGGTGACACAGCGAGACTCCGTCTCAAAAAAAAAAAAAAAAAAAAAAAAGAAATGCTTCTTGACTCATACAGCACACCCCAATTTCATGCAGTGCTTTGGGCTGAGCCAAGTCTGCAGCAGGCAGAAGGCTCTGAGAAGTTGTCGCAGCCTGGGCCGTGGACAATTCAGAGCTCAGGCCACAGGGGTGTGCTCAGCAGGACTGGGTGGACAGGACGTTTGTTGCGAAGGGAAGGGGAAGAGTACAGGCTTCCAGGAGCAGGTGTTTGAGGCTTCCAGACACGCTTCTTTGGGAGGTGGCCAGAGGAGATGCCTGTTTTCTGGGGCAGGATTTGGAGGGAGCCACCCAGGCTGGAGAGGTTCAGCCAGGCTGTCCCAAGACTTTGAAGCATCCCATCTGAGAGCCTGGCTGTTGGAGAGTGTGGGTTTGGAACTTGAGGTAGGGGGTTCTGTTCTGATCTGTGCCAGTCACAGCCTTTGGATGGGCAGAGCAACGATTGGGGAGGGCGTAAAAGAAGAAATGAACTGAGGAAGGAGGAAAACAGGCTTCAACACAGTCTAGGCTGGGCGTGGTGGCTCACGCCTGTAATCCCAGCACTTTGGGAGGCTGAGGTTGGTGGATCACCGGAGGCCAGAAGTTGGAGACCAGCCTGGCCAATAGATATTGAAACCCCATCTTTACTAAAAGTAAAAAAATTAGCTGGGCGGGGAGGTGGATGCCTGTAATCCCAGATACTTGGGAGGCTGAGGCAGGAGAATTGCTTGAACCCGGGAAGCAGAGGTTGCAGTGAGCCGAGATGATGTCATTGTACTCCAGCCTGGGCTACAGAGTGAGATTTTGTCTCTCAGAAAAAAAAAAGGGCCGGGCGTGATGGCTCACGCCTGTATTCCCAACACTTTGGGGGGCCGAGGCGGGCAGATCACGAGGTCAGGAGTTCAAGAGCAGCCTGACCAACATGATGAAACCCCGTCTCTACTAAAAATACAAAAATTAGCCAGGCATGGTGGTGCGCGGCTGTGATCCCAGCTACTTGGGAGGCTGAGGCAGGAGAATTGCTAGAACCTGGGAGACGGAGGTTGCAGTGAGCCGAGATCAGGCCTCTGCACTCCAGCCTGGGTGACAGAACAAGACCCTGTCTCAAAAAAAAAAAAGTCTATACTGTGGAGGACTTGGGTGGGTGCTGGGAGCTCTGAGCACGGACGGGTCCCTCTGTTGGGTTTTTCTTCCCTTCATCCCTCCTGGTTAACTCTACTCAGTATAAGGGCCATTTCCTCTTATTTATTTATTTATTTTTTGAGATGGAGTTTTGCTCTTGTTACCCAGGCTGGAGTGCAATTGCGCGATCTCGGCTCACCGCAACCTCTGCCTCCTGGGTTCAAGCAATTCTCCCGCCTCAGCCTCCTGAGTAACTGGGATTACAGGCATGCACCACCATGCCCGGCTAATTTGTATTTTCAGTAGAGACGGGGTTTCTCCATGTTGGTCAGGCTGATCTTGAACTCCCAACATCAGGTGATCCACCCGCCTCGGCCTCCCAAACTGCTGGGATTACAGGCATGAGCCACCGCATCCTTCCTAAGGGTCGTTTCTTCTAAGAGGCTGTCCTTGACTCTCCGGTCCAAGTTATGTTTATTGTCTAGCAGAGCCCAATTCCTGCCACCACTTGTCACTTCCATTTGAAACATTTCTTTCATTGTTTGTTTTTCAGAGTCAGGGTCTCGCTGTTCCCCAGACTGGAGTGCAGTGGTGCAGTCACGGCTCATTGCCACCTCGGCCTCCTGGGCTTAAGCGATCCTCCCCACTCAGCCTCCCAAATACCTGGGACCACAGGCGTGCACCGCCATGCCAGGCTAAGTTAAAAAAAAATTTTTTTTCCCCAAGATGGAGTCTTGCTCTGTTGCCCAGGCTGGAGAGCAGTGGTATGATTTTGGCTCACTACAACCTCTACCTCCTGGGTTCAAGCAATTTTTCTGCCTCAGCCTCATGAGTACCTGGGATTACAGGTGTGTGCCGCCATGCCCAGCTAGGTTTTTTTTGTATTTTTTTTGTAGAGGTAGAATTTCACCATGTTGGCCAGGCTGGTCTCAAACTCTTGACCTCATGATCCACCCGCGTCGGCCTTCCAAAGTGTAGGGATTACAGGCGTGAGCCACCATGCCCGCCCCTAATTTTTAAATTTGTTGTAGAAACCAGGTCTTGCTATGTTGCCCAGGCTGGACTTGAAATGCTGGTCTCTAGTAAGCCTCCAAAGTGCTGGGATTCTAAGTGTGAGCCACCGTGCCCGGCTCTTGCACCATTTCTCTGTGCATACGTCTCCACTCCCACTGCCCAGGACCTGTGGACTTAGATTTGATCACTGCTGAGCACCTCGCACCCAGCCCCATGCCTACTTTCCAGGGAGTGCCCCTGTTTGATTGATGCATTAATAAATACCCCACCCAATTCTGCACCCATCCACTCCTGTGTTCAAGAGCTGTTTCAGGGAGTCAACCTCATTTTTAGCAGTGTTCAGCCCAGTGGCCTCGGCTCTGTGTACCTGGAAGGGTGGCTACTCTTCTGGGAGGATAGGATTCAGAGACGGGGGGAGAAAGAGTGATGTTAGAGAGCTCGGTCTAGGACTAGAGGAACATGTGCCCTTACTTAAAATACATCTCCAGTTAGGGAAGAAAGCAGCAGCTCCATGCTTTTTTTTTTTTTCCTTTGTTTTTGTTTGTTTTGAGACAGGGTCTTGCTCTGTGGACTAGGCTGGAGTGCAGTGGCGCGATCTCAGCTCACTGCAACCTCCACCTCCCGGGTTCCAGTGATTCTTGTGCTTCAGCCTCCCAAGTAGCTGGGGTTACAGACACGCGCCACCATGCCCGGCTAATTTTTGTATTTGTAGTAGAGAAGGGGTTTCACCATGTTGGCCAGGCTGATCTTGAACTCCTGACCTCAGGTGATCCACCTGCCTCGGCCTCCCAAACTGCTGGGATTACGGGTGTGAGCCATCTTGCCTGGCCCATGTTGTGTTCTGGCGGGGGAAGATGGGACAGAGAGGATGGGAGGGTGTCTGAGCCCTTGGACTGACAGAACCTGTGTCTTCTGCCTTTTGTGGACAGGATGGTGATCACTCACACCAAAGCCTTGGACCCCTCCCGGCCTGTGACCTTTGTAACCAACTCCAACTATGCAGCAGACAAGGGGGTGAGCCTGGGGGTCCCCATGCCACTTCTCCCTGCCTTTGCCTAGGCTCGTCCTGAAACCTGCTCATTGGAACAGCTGGAAAGCACCATGCGCTGCCAGTCTGGGTTTTTTTCATTTCGTTTTTTTTTTGAGACAGAGTCTTGCTCTCTCCCCCAGGCTGGAGTGCAGTGGCGCGATCTCGGCTCACTGCAAGCTCCGCCTCCAGGGCTCACGCCATTCTGCTGCCTCAGCCTCCCGAGTAGCTGGGACTGCAGGTGCCCGCCACCACACCCAGCTAACTTTCTTGTATTTATAGTAGAGATGGGGTTTCACCATGTTAGCCAGGATGGTCTCTATCTGACCTCTTGATCTGCCCTGCGTCTGCCTCCCAAAGTGCTGGGATTACAGGCGTGAGCCACCACACCCGGCCAGCATTTTTACTAGAAAGAAGTGTGTTTAGGACACATTAGAAACTAGCCAGTTGGACACAGAAGCTTTTGCTGCTCAGCCGTGAGCACTGCTTTGCTGAAGCTGGGGGTGGTCCTACTCGGTCTTCCCTGCTCTGCTCCTAGGATGGACTCTTGCAAGTCCTCTACAGCCCACAGCGCTGCCTCGTGAAAGCTGTCTCAAGATTCTCTGTGACAGCCGAGCATGGTGGCTTACATCTGTCATCGCAGCACTTTGGGAGGCTGAGGCAGGCAGATCACTTGAGGTCAGGAGTTCAAGACCAGCCCAGCCAACTGGTGAAACTTGGTCTCTACCAAAAACACAAAAAAATTAGCCACGCATGGTGGCGCGCACCTGTAATCCTAGCTACTCGGGAGGCTGAGGCACGAGAAGCACCTGATCACGGGAGGCAGAGGTTGCAGTGAGCTGAGATCGCACCACTAACATTCTAGTCTGGGGGACAGAGCGAGACTATGTCTCCAAAATAAAACAAAAGATTCTCTGTGAGAATGACTTCATCGGCCCCTCGGGTGGGAACGCTTCTCCAGGGCAAGGTGAGGGGAAGCCCAGTGATGGGAGCGCTGCCCGGAGGACACAGTTCTAGTGGCGCGGGCCCTGGGCTTTGGCTGAGGACTGTGCGTTGGCAGCTGCTGTGCCTCTCACAGCCCTTCCCAGCTGCGCATGTCGTGAGCATCAACGTGGAGTGACTGGCCTGCCTCCTTTGGGCTACTTTGTGACCATGTTTCCTGCCTATGGAGCAGGGTAATTTCAGGATCTAAATTGGTGTACTTGCATGTTCTCAGCCCCAGGAGACAGCTCTTCCCGTTCTAGGTTGGTTTTTTTTTTTGGTAGAAATGGGGTCTTGCGATATTGCCCAGGCTGGTCTTGAACTCCTGGGATCAAGTGATCCTCCCACCTTGGCCTCCCAGTGTGCAGGGATTACAGGCATGAGCCACCATGCCCTGCTAATTTTTTCACTACTATTTTTTGTAGAGCTGGGGTCTTGCTGTGTTGCCCAGGCTGGTCTCGAACCCCTGGCCTCAAGCCATCCTTCTGCCTCAGCGTCACAGAGTGCTGGGATTACATCCCCTTCTTACCTTCTCTGTCAGAGAAGCCCCCACAGTGTGTGAGTGCTGTCATGCTGTCTTGTGGGTGCTAAATGGGCTCTGCCACTCTGGTCCTAGGCTCCGTATGTGGATGTGATCTGTTTGAACAGCTACTACTCTTGGTATCACGACTATGGGCACCTGGAGTTGATTCAGCAGCAGCTTACCACCCAGTTTGAGAGCTGGTATAAGACGTATCAGAAGCCCATTATTCAGAGCGAGTATGGAGCGGAAACGATTGTTGGGTTTCACCAGGTAAGCGGTGTTGAGCTTTCTGTTTGTGTGTTCTCTCGAGGCAGAGATGTCACTCACCTCCCCCGGCCTGCCCTGCACCCACGGCACTGCTCCCCTCACTTCAGCTTTGGGCTCTCCTCCCGCTGCCTCATCCACGTTCGCCTCGGCCCCCTTTGCTTGGTCCTCAGAGGTGGCCTCCTTACCGGCTTTGTTTCCAGACAGCCTCCTATCACCTGTGCCCAAGTAGTCTTCTTAACAAATCCAAATTTGTATTTGTTTGCGTTTGAGACCGGATCTTTCTTTGTCACTAAGGCTAGAGTGTGGTGGTGTGATCACTGCTCACTGCAGCCTTAACCTCCTGGGCTCAAGTGATCCTCCCACCTCAACCTCCTGAGTAGCTGGGACCATAGGCACATGCCAATATGCCTGGCTAATTTTTTTACTTTTGTAGAGATGAGGTCTTGCTGTGTTGCCCAGGCTGATCTTGAACTCCTGGGCTCAAGTGATCTCCTGCCTCAGCCTCCCAAAGGGCTGAGATTACAGGTGTGAGCCTCTGCGCCAGCCACAGATGACAATTTTGGGAGTCCTGTCATCGGCTCCCCCAGGCCCACAGGACAAAGCCCTAAACCCTGGTCAGGATACTCAGTGTCCTCTGCTCTTTCCCCTCACTCCCGGCCACTGATCTGTTTCCACTGCCCTCGTTTGCTCTCCCTCTCTTGCTTGAGCTGTTTCTTCTACCTGGAATTCCCATGTTGGCAACATAATCACCAACTAAAAGATTCTTTTTTAAAAATGTTTATTTATTATTTATTTTTTTATTTTTTGAGACGGAGTCTCGCTCTGTCGCCCAGGCTGGAGTGCAGTGGCCGGATCTCAGCTCACTGCAAGCTCCGCCTCCCGCGTTCACGCCATTCTCCTGCCTCAGCCTCCCGAGTAGCTGGGACTACAGGCGCCGCCACCACGCCCGGCTAGTTATTTGTATTTTTTAGTAGAGACGGGGTTTCACCGTGTTAACCAAGATGGTCTCGATCTCCTGACCTCGTGATCCGCCCGCCTCGGCCTCCCAAAGTGCTGGGATTACAGGCTTGAGCCACCGCGCCCGGCCAAAATGTTTATTTTTTAGAGATAGGGTCTTGCTATGTTGTCTGGGCTGGTCTCAAACTCCTGGACTTAACTGATCTTCCCGCCTTGGCCTCCAAAAGTGCTGGGATTACAGGCGTGATCCACTGTGCTAGCCTTTTCTTTTTTTTTTTTTTTGCAGGGTCTTGTTCTGTTGCCCAGGCTGGAGTGCAGTGGTGCCATCATAGCTCACTGCAGCCTTCAACTCCTGGGCTGAAGCGATTCCCCTGCCTCAGCCTCCTGAGTAGCTGGGACTACAGGCATCACCACCATGGGCAGCCTATTTTTAAATTTTTTTGTAAAGATGGAGTCTCACTATCAGGCTGGTCTGGAACTCCTGGCCTCATGTGATTCTCCTGCCTTGGACTCCCAAAGTACTGGGAATCCAGGCATGAGCCACCATGCCCGGCCTGTCCCCATTTTTTTTAATCCATCTGATTTTTTTGTCCTCCTCACTAAAGATATGTTGGTTTGTCTTGTGAGGTTTTTTTTTTTTTTTTTTTTTTTTTTGAGACGGAGTCTCGCTCTGTCGCCCAGGCTGGAGTGCAGTGGCCGGATCTCAGCTCACTGCAAGCTCCGCCCCCCGGGTTTACGCCATTCTCCTGCCTCAGCCTCCCGAGTAGCTGGGACTACAGGCGCCCGCCACCTTGCCCGGCTAGTTTTTTTTGTATTTTTTAGTAGAGGCGGGGTTTCACTGTGTTAGCCAGGATGGTCTCGATCTCCTGACCTTGTGATCCGCCCGTCTCGGCCTCCCAAAGTGCTGGGATTACAGGCTTGAGCCACCGCGCCCGGCCGAGGTTTTTTTTTTCATGTGGATTCCTTAACCCCATCCAGCCCCTCATTCCCACCCCAGCCAGCTCACACTTGTTTGTCACAGCTCCTGGGACTCCCGTTGACACACAGGGAATAGCCACCCACAGTGGACTACGCTGTTCTGTTTGCTCCCTTAAATTTATCGTGCTTACAGAATGCCACTTCTGCAAACTAGTTAAGTAGGGAGAGTTGGCTCGTGGATATGCTCGCTTGCTCATCCTTTTTGAAAAGGTAACCAGCTCTGAATTCTTTTTTTTTTTTTTTTTTTTTTGAGATGAGTTTCGCTCGTCGCCCAGGCTGGAGTGCAGTGGCGCAATCTCGGCTCACTGCAACCTCCACCTCCTGGTTTCAAGCGATTCTCCTGCCTCAGCCTCCCAAGTAGCTGGGATTACAGCCTCGCACCACCACGCCCACCTAATACTGTATTTTCAGTAGAGATGAGGTTTCACCATGTTGGTCAGGCTGGTCTTGAACTCCTGACCTCAAGTGATCCACCCGCCTTGGCCTCCCAAAGTGCTGGGATTACAGGCATGAGCCACCGCGCCAAGCCCCAGCTCTAAACTCTTAAGAAACTCTCGAGAGGGTCTAGGTCAGTGCTGATAGAACCTCTGCAGTGCTGGGCCTGGTGGCTCACACCTGGAATGCTAGCACTTTGGGACGCCAAGGTCAGAGGATCTCTTGAACCCAGGAGTTTGAGACCAGTCTGCGTAACACAGACCCCATCTCTACAAAAAATTTAAAATTAGTTAGGCATGGTTGTGAGTGCTTATAGTCCAGGATACTTGGGAGGCTGAGGTGGGAGGATTGTTTGAGCCCAGTAGGTCGAGGCTGCATTCAGCTCTGATGGCACCACTGTACTCCCACCTGGGTGACCTTGTTTCAAAAAAAAACAAAAAAACACTCTTGCAGTGATGGAAATGTTCTACATTTGCACTGTCTGAAATGCTACACACTAGCTACACATGGCTACTGAGGTCTTGATATATGACTAGGATAACTGAATTGATTTAGTTTAAAAGAATTTTTTTTGAGACAGCCTCACTGTTGCCCAGGCTGGAGTGCAGTGGCGTAATCACAGCTCACTGCTCACCCTCCTGAGCTCAAGCGATCCTCCCTCCTTAGCCCCCAAAGTAGCTAGAACCACAGGCGTGCGCCACCACGCCTGGCTAATATTTAGGCTTTTTGTAGAGACTGGGTCTCACTGTGTTGCCTAGACTAGTCTTGAACTGTGGGCTCAAGTGATCCTCCTGCCTCGACCTCCAAAAGTACTGGGATTAGAGACCTGAGCTACCATGCCCAGCCTGGTTTAGTTTAGTTTAATTTAATTAATTAATTTATTTATTTGAGACAGGGTCTTGCTGTGTCACCCAAGCTGGAATGCAGTGTTGTGAACACAGCTCACTGCTGCTTTGATCTCCGGGGCTCAAGCAGTCTTCCCACCTCAGCCTCACAAACTGCTGGGATGACAGGCAAGAGCCACTGCACCTGACCCAAAGACATATTTTTACCAGTAGTGTAGTGTAGCCTTAAGACTGTACTAGCAGATAGAGGTGGAAAAGTAATGTAAAGTGAATATCAAATTATGTTTATAAATAAAGCAGTTGCTCATTAAGGTTGTTTTGTTTTTAAACCTCCTTTTTTATTCTGGGTTACATCATTCCCTGGCTGTCTTTACTACAGCATCAGTGAGTCCTGCAGTCACTATAGCCCCCTGCGAGGACAGATATTTTGGTCACCATCAAGTGGATCTTTATTTTTGTCCAACTTTACAATTCTGCCAGTTCTGACCCTTACATTCTCTTTGCCTTGAATGCCAGGACCCGCCTCTGATGTTCACTGAAGAGTACCAGAAGAGTCTGCTAGAGCAGTACCATGTGGTTCTGGATCAAAAACGCAGAAAGTACGTGGTTGGAGAGCTCATCTGGAATTTTGCCGATTTCATGACTGAACAGTGTAAGTGGCAGTTTGGCTCATGGGATAAGGTACCCGTCCTTATTTTTTCAGGTTGCCTTGCCAATGCTGGCCATTTCGATTGTAAGAATATTGGAAACAGTGGGGAAGCTGGTTTAATCCATGTAGGTTGCGTTGAGAATTTCGTAGGAAAAGTAAGTTGTGCTTAGGAAGCAGGAAAGCAGTCAGGCCCCCGCCTCCCAAATGTGGTCAAAAAGCAGACAGGAGAGTCAGCTATGGTGAGACGGAAATGGCTAGCTTGCCTTGTTCTTGTCTATTTCATAGCCAAGGAGGAAGGAAAAACGGGACCTCATTATGGATTTACTTTTGGGAAACACTCATTATTCCATAGTAGGGTACAAAGCCTGAGAAGCTTAAGGTATTTCAGGCTGTTGTACATTACTCACTTGCGAAAAGCAGGCTCATCGAATACAGGTGAGTTTCAACGCGTCTTGAATGAGGCAGCATTTAAAAGTCTTTAGGCTGGGCATGGTGGCTCATGCCTGTAATCCCAGCACTTTGGGAGGCCAAGCTGGGAGGATCGCTTGAGGCCAGGAGTTCAAAACCAGCCTGTTCAGCATAGCAAGACCCCATCTCTACAAAAACAAATTAGCTAGCATGGTGGTGTGTGCCTGTAGTCCCAGCTGCTTGGGAAGCTGAGGCAGGCGAATCACCTGAGCACAGGAGTTGGAGGCTGCAGTGAGCTGTGATTGCACCACTGCGCGAGAGCCTGGGCAACAGAGCGAGACCTGCCTTTAAAAAACAAAATTGGTCTTCAAAGAGAATAAGATCTGTGTTCTCACATGGGGACAGATGAGGGGCTGCCATGTTCGCAATGAATGTGTCCCATTTCTTCTTAGTTTATGGACTTACTGTAAACTCAGGATGGCAGTTTGGTGGGTTGGAGAAGGATATGGTAATGGTGGGAATTATATTACTTACAGGGGAAGACAGGCCTTTGAAAGGTTAAAGCTTAAAAGTGAGAGTGGAAAAGGGATGAATGAATGAACAAGATGAGGTGAGAAGGAAGAGGGAAAGGGAAAAGGAGAACAGGAAGCTCTCCTCTGCGTGGCACCTGCAATAAATGGTTTCTGGGGACATCCGTGATGGCAGTTTTGTGGAGAGGCGTGAGGCTTTATGTGATAAGAAATGAGCTGCAGGCTGGACGCAGTGGCTCACACCTGTAATCCCAGCACTTTGAGAGGTTGAGGTGGGCAGATCACCTGAAGTCAGGAGTTTAAGACCAGCCTGGCCAACGTGGAGAAACCCCGTCTCTACTAAAAATACAAAATTAACCGAGCATGGTGGCGCATGCCTGTAATTCCAGCCACTTGGGAGACTGAGGCATGAGAATCGGCTGAACCTGGGAGATGGAGATTGCAATGAGCTAAGATCAGACCACTGTACTGTAGCTTGGGCAATAAAGTGAGAGTCTTTTTTTTTTGAGAGGGGGTTTTGCTCTTGTTTCCCAGGCTGGAGTGCAGTGGTGCTGTCTCAGCTCACTGCAACCTCCACCTCCCGGGTTCAAGCAATTCTCCTGCCTCAGCCTCCCAATTAACTGGCATTATAGGCATGCACCACCACACCTGGCTAATTTTGTATTTTTAGTAGAGACAGGGTTTCTCCATGTTGGTCAGGCTGGGCTTGAACTACCGACCTCAGGGGATCCATGCATGTGGGTCTCCCAAAGTGCTGTGATTACAGGCGTGAGCCATTGTGGCCAGCTGACTCGATCTTAGAAAAAAGAAATGAGTTGCATCACGATGGGCAAGTCGCCTAAGCGTATCATAAGCCTGTCCAGTGGGGATAATGCCGCCACCTTGTGGGTGTTGTAAGAGCTGCATCTGACGAAGTACTTGGCGGTGCCTGTGTTCACTCGTGGAAGAAACAGTCTTGAACCTTTTGGTGGGGAAGGCCTCCTTTGCATTTAACATTTCCATTTAGTGGTGGTCTCATTGGGGACAGAGAATGTCCTGAGAGCACAGCCCTGACGGGGTGTTTGCCAGCTGTGTTTCCCACCAGCCTCAGCTCAGGCCTGATGACCACTGGTGGTGGGTGCTGACAAGCTGAACATCGGCCCTGCCCCAGAGGACTTTGAACTCCATGAGTAGGTCCCACGTAGGCACCTGTGGCTGGTCAGGACCCTGGCTCCCACTAGGTGCTATCTCTTCAGAAAGACCCAAGCCTTTTCAAGGGTAACTGTCCCAGATACGCACAGCTCTCTGCCTACCTAGTTACCAGACAGCTGGGAAGCCAGCATGTAAACCTTATTTTTGCAAGTAAAAGATAAACTTTTGGTGCTTTTTTTTTTTTTTTTTTTTTGAGATGGAGTCTCACTCTGTCTCCCAGGCTGGAGTGCAGTGGCACGATCTCAGCTCACTGCAACTTCTGCCTCCTGGGTTCAAGCAATTCTCCTGCTCCAGCCTCCTGAGTAGCTGGGACTACAGGCACCCACCACCATGCCCGGATAATTTTTGTATTTTTAGTAGAGATGAGGTTTCACCATATTGTTCAGGCTGGTTTTGAACTCCTGACCTTGTGATCTGCCTGCCTTGGCCTCCCAAAGTGCTGGGATTACACAGGCATGAGCCACTGTGCCCGATCAATTTTTTTATTTTTAATAGAGACGGGGTTTCCTCACGTTGGCCAGGCTGGTCTCGAACTCCTGACCTCAGGTGATCCACCTGCCTCAGCCTCCCAAAGCGCTGGGATTACAGGCATGAGCCACCACACCCAGCCACTGTTTTGGGTTTTTCCCCTCACAGAGTAGAAAACTAGGAATTAACACATCAGGAAACCTGAGTGTTGGGCAGAGCAGTGGTATTTAAATATTTCAACCCATAAATTGTCACTTCACGGCAAGCATCCTGAAACTATAAGAGGACATTTGGCTGAACATGGTGGCTCGTGCTTATAATCCCAGCACTCTGGGGAGGCTGAGGAGGGCAGATTGCTTGAGCCCAGTAGTTTGAGACCAGCCTGGGCAACATAATGAGACCTTGTCTTTACTTAAAAAAAAAAAAAAAAAAAATTAGCCGGGCATGGTGGTGCTTGAGAGGCTGAGGCGGAGGATTGCCTGAGCCCAGGAGGTTGAGGCCACAGGGAGCTATGATTGTGTCTCCGCATTCCAGCCTGGGGGACAGTGAGATCATCTCAAAAGAAAAAAAAACAAGACATTTCTATGTAGTGCCTACCTTGGCTCCAGTGTGGTTCTAACTTGACCCATCAGAAGTCATCTGAGTCGCTTTGTGTCTTTTTTTTTGTTTTTTTTAGCACCGACGAGAGTGCTGGGGAATAAAAAGGGGGTCTTCACTCGGCAGAGACAACCAAAAAGTGCAGCGTTCCTTTTGCGAGAGAGATACTGGAAGATTGCCAATGAAACCAGGTATCCCTACTCAATAGCCAAGTCACAGTGTTTGGAAAACAGCCCGTTTACTTGAGCAAGACTGACACCACCTGTGTCCCTTCCTCCCAGAGTCAGGGCGACTTCCACAGCAGCAGAACAAGTTCATGGCAGACCAGAACGTTTCTGGCCTGGGTTTTATGCTCATCTGTGCTAGCAGGGACCACTAGAGGTGGAAATAGAAGATTTTCTAGTATGGAAATAAAGAGTTGGCATGAAAGTGGCTACTGAAAAGCATCTGAAATCATTTCTGTGCGTCGTGCTGTTTTCAGAGCCTTAACTATGTGTGGACTTTGGAGAAACTGCTGCTCCAACACCCCCACCATGTTCAGAGCAGCTGGTTCCAGAGGGCATCTGCAGAAATAGCCCCATGGTCCTAGGGCCGCCGTGTTTGTGTAGCAAACCGGGCCAGCCTCAACAGGGAGTGAGTAGAAGACTTTCACAGCTGCTGTTCGACTCCTCAGACGAGCTAAAGTCCCACATGTACCAACAAATTCATAGAAATGCTGTCATGCTGCAGCACTTAGCAGGGTCTGTGAGCCAGTTTCCACATAGTTAAGCTGGCAGTGTCTGAACTGGAAGGTTAGAGGTAACTGGTTCTCCCAGGACATCGTTCTGACCTCAGCCATAGGGTCTTGACAGAAATGGGCAGATGAGTGTAAACGCCCATTGGCTTTATCATAACGGATGCCACTGAGTGTGACAAGACCTCCTTAAACAACTCTGCCTACAAATCAGCATTCCATGGCTTTACACCCCGAAATGACGCCACCTACCCCCTCCCAGAGCACAGTCTTTCCTTAAGGAATCTCTCCTCCCTCTCTTCACGGGCTCCAGTAAGGCAAGGATGGTGCATCAGTTCTGATTTGAACTATATGCTTTGGAAAAATATTCCTTTTGCTGTCCAGTCAGTTGAAAGACAGTGAACCAATACAGTTTTGTTTTGTTTGTTTTGAGACAGTCTTGCTCTGTCGGCCAGGCTGGAGTGCAGTGGTGCAACCTCGGCTCACTGCGACCTTCACCTCCGGGGTTCAAGCAATTCTCCTGCCTCAGCCTCCGAAGTAGCTGGAACTACAGGCAACTGCCACCACTCCCAGCTAAATTTTTAAAAATATTTTTAGTAGAGACAGGGTTTTGCCATGTTGGCCAGGCTGGTCTTGAACTCCTGACCTCAGGTGATCCGCTCGCCTTAGCCTCCCCAAGTGCTGGGATTACAGGCATGAGCCACCGTGCCCGGCCTCCAGTATGGTTCTTGCTATAGAACTTGATTTCCCCCTCTCTTGTGGTTGAGCCCCCTGTCTCCACACAGACCCTCCTTTTTAGCTTTCCTGTGCAAGCTCCATGAAAGAAAGAATAAAGTTAATTTCGCCTGGTTTTATTAGGCATCGTCAGTCCATTTTTAAAAAATGAGAGTGTAGTCAGTTCCAATTAAGAATCTAGGGCTTGTATATTTTTTATCAACCTCTCTTTAGTTTTCAAAGGAATCAAGTTTTGTGTTCCAGTATGTCAAGGTATAATGAATAAAAGTTGACAAACATTAAGAAAAGTTAAATGTAGTAGACACATCTAAATGGTTTACAAATTAGGGGTAGTTCTTTTTTTTTTTGAGATGGAGTCTTCTTCTGTTGCCCAGGCTGCAGTGCAGTGGCATGATCTCGTCTCACTGCAACCTCCTCCCGGGTTCAAGCAATTCTTCTGCCTCAGCCTCCTGAATAGCTGGGATTACAGGCACACGCCACAATCCTGTCTAGTTTTTTTGGGTTTTTAGTAGAGACAGGCTTTCACCATATTGGCCAGGCTGGTCTTGAACTCCTGACCTCAAGTGATCCACCCACCTCTGCCTCCCAGAGTGCTGGGATTACAGGCATGAGCCATTGCGCCCGGTGGGGGCAGTGCCCCTTTCCACAGGTCTTAAGCTCCAGCACAGAACACACTTGTTCTAGTCCATGAAGGATAGCTCAGCTGTATTTCCAATGGATTCATCTTTCTTGCCGATGCTACCTTTTTAGAGGATTATACATGGAGTATTCAAGGTAAGCTAAAGTAAAACTATGGAAAAACAGCTCATTAATACATTCTGAGTGTTCACAGAACAGTAGGCAGTGACACATTTTGTCATTAATTCTTGACAATCACATACATCATAAACCCACAGGAATTCCAAGATCTAGAGGTCTGAGGACTCTGAATCTTCTGCAAGTTACGTATGATTTAAGAGAAAAAGAATCAACCCTATATACCTTAGAAATGAGGTTACAGTATTGACTTCAAGAATATAAGGCTCCTACCGAGTCTAAAAAGACCTCGTTTCAGCTTTTTTTGGAATGCAACCCTGCAGTTTAAGAATAATAGGAGCACAACTTCCACAGGTAACTTCTACATTTATTTTATACCAAAAAAGTTATGTGCAACAAATAAACATTCTTACATATTTACATTTGGTTTTATTTATCAGTTAGCAAAACGGCGCCTTAAATCTCTGATAAAGAGTATTTCTATCTAGATTAAAGGGGAAACCTGCCCACTGAACTCCATTTTAAATGAATGTTTACTCTGGAGCTTAAAGCACTAGTAAGAAATCTTTCTCATGGAACATTCTAGACAGATCATACACCTAATACTTAGGTCATGCCTAATACAGTTTTATAACAAAACATTTCACCTTTTCTAGGTGAATTTGTAGTAAAAAAATGTTTAGCCAAGTAGCTGGGGCTCCCACCCTTGCCTTTTTTGTTTGATGGAAGGGTAGTTGTCACAATTAGAAACCGTAAGTGCTGCCTGAGGTGTCTGAAATGTTTCACCAATGCTTGTGTGTTGGAGGAAAAGACATGAAGACAGAAACTGTATCATAGGTCATTAGGTCGTCTCCCCAAATAGGTTACCAGAAGTCACAGAGGGTCTCCTTGTTGGCATCTAATACTGATTTTCAAGACAAGATCTCCTGTCACTCTTGGTACCAATCTAAGTTACGAAGAAACTGCTGAAGATAACTCTGTACTTTTGCCAATAGTCTTTTCAAAAACTAAATGAAAAACAATAGTCAACAAATAGTTTTTATTTACTTTTTATTTGAGACAGAGTTTCACTCATTGCCCAGGCTGGAGTGCAATGGCACAATCATGGCTCACTGCAAACTCCGCCTACCGGGTTCAAGCAATTCTCCTGCCTCAGCCTCCGGAGTAGCTGGCATTACAGGTGCCTGCCACCATGCCCAACTAACTTTTGTATTTTTAGTAGCGATAGAGTTCCACTATGTTGGTCAACTGGTCTTGAACTTCTGACCTCAGGTGATCCACCTGCGTCGGCCTCCCAAAGTGCTGGGATTACAGGTGTGAGCCACCATGCCCGGCCAGCAAATAGTTTTAATTTCACTGTAGTCTTGGTCCTCTTTGAATGAAAACAGTCAATGCTTTGAACATCATTTGAAAGTAATGAATTTAAGGAGAGGACACATGTGTAAAGGAACAGTGATTCTGGGCACACAGCCAGTTAACCCTGAGTTATTTCACCAGAAATTTACTTTTACTGAGAGCAACTAGCTGTAATGCAAAACCAAATGAAATCCTCCAAATCACCCAGATTCCCTAGAATTTATCATCTAACCCCAATTCGTCTTTCTTCAAATGATATTTGTGAGCATCAAGTCAATAAATGGCTTCATTTGGAACAAATTACTTAAAAAAGATGAATCATGGAATTACTGCTAAAAACAAATGTTTCCCCTCATCTGTCCTTTAACACTGGTGGCTAGTAATGCTGCAGTGTTCAAATATTCAGTAAATAGGGCAAAACAATCTTCTAATTTTATAACACTGGTGATTCCCCCCTCTTCTGGGCAGAATAGAAGGTATAGAAGGGAATCTGAATTCTCCAGGGCAAAAAACACCCAATTAATACCACCAGGGTTCTGTTACTTACTGAGACACTGGCATTACAATGCTGTTATGACAGGCAGTACGTGTTCCTCTCTCAATGAGGAAAAAAGGTATTAATTAACTGGGCCATAAGAATGTGGCAAAAAAAATCTTATACAACTGAAACAGTGGTTTCCCCGAGCCTTAGAAAAGCAAAGGAAAAACTGAAAGGGTCTGGCTGACCATTTTCCCATGTTTTCTCAGGTAAGAGTTGAAGACATTTGCAAGAATGCAACATCAAGACAAGCTTTAACTATACTCTGCTGATTGATACAAAATAGGATGAAAAACCATTGGATCCTGGGACACGAGGAACTTGTTTAGCACAACCGGTGTTATGTGTACCACAGTTTTAACCATTAGGCCATTTCCACTGTAGCTTAGAGAAAAGAACCAGAGGACTGCCTTGGTAGAGCTGGACGCGCTGCTATAAGACGGCCTCGCTGTACAGCCCTCAAACGTGAGGACTTCTTTCTCCATAGGTACCAGATGGCCAATCAGTGCTTTCTAGAGTTCTTTAACTACTTCAGAATACAAGAACAGTACATCCATACTCCAACAGCCATTGAAAGATTCACATTCATGGGAAAACACAAGTCTTGATGAAATCTTGAGTTAAGCTATCTTTTAAGAAACTGGTTGAAACTGGTGAAAAGTTCATTACAATTCAAGCTTGATACCTGCCTCGAGCCAGAAGACCTACGTTGCATCAATTCTGAGTCAGTGGAAGCTACAGAATTGTTGCTGACCCTACACATTTGAGTTTACAGAGCAGAGCCTGTCCCCTCCCTTCAAAGAGAAGGCAAATAAAGCACTCAAGAGGTACTGGTCTCATTGACTGTTTTTAACATAAAATGATTAATCAGATTGGAAGCAAAAACATTACTGCTGCTTCCCAACCGGAGGAGTGAAATGATCACACAGGACCCTTCTGCAGAGTGCGGGTTTTCTACCTGACGGTGAAGACGGGAGGGCAGGACACTTCTGCCCAAGGTCAACACACAAAATATTTGGTTTGAGATTTAAGACAGAAGGCACTTTTAACATTCTGATATCAGATGTTAACCATACAAACGTCCTGTCACAATTTCATTTGGGTTTACTTGAATCCCCTTCCAAAATTCTTCTTACTGCATGTGTGTCATTATGAGAGCAGTGGCGACACGACCAGATTTAGCCTTGAGATGTGTCTACCTGTTCCTATTCTCCCATGAAGCAAACTGCGCAGCATGTCAGCCCTGAAGGTTACAAATCCAGTATTTGACTGCAAAACAACTAAATTAGACATCCGAGTGGTTAGTGCAGAAACAATGAGCAAGA